CTCCTGAGTAGCTGGGATTACAGGTGTGCACCATCAAGCCCAGCTAAGTTTTGTATTTTTAGTAGAAACGGGTTTTCACCGTGTTGGCCAGGCTGGTCTTGAACTCCTGACCTCAGGTGATCCGCCTGCCTTGGCCTCCCAAAGTGCTGGGATTATAGGCGTGAGCCACCGCACCCCCATCGGAAACCAGCCCATTCTGATCTTCCTGTAAGGAAGACTAATTCTCCCATGACTACCATGAAACGGAGGGTTCCACCACACTTTAGAGGTATATGGAAGAGGGAGAGGGGATGGAAAGAGGAGAGGGGTGGGAGAGGGTTCTGGTCTCTTCCTCTTCTTATAAGAAAACTAGTTCCTTGGGCTTAGATAGGGCCCCACCCTGATGACCTTATTCAGACCTAATTACCTACTTAAATGCACTGTCTCCAAAAACAGTCTCATTCAGGGTTAAGGCTTCAACCATACACATTTGAGGTGATACAATTCAGTCCCTAACATCTACTATCAGTTGAATGAAGAATGAATTGGATAGGATGCCATTTACAACACGAAGTAACTGTAGTCCAAATGGCGCCATGAGAGATTGTGGACAGTAATGTGTCCCTCTTTCCATACTTTCTATTTTTTCCCTCTAGAGATTGCCAAATCTTTGGCCAAACGCCTGCAGTACTTCAACACCTTTGGAGGGAACCCCATGGCCTGTGCCATTGGATCTGCTGTGCTTGAGGTTGGTGCCAGTGGTCACATTAGCCACATTTCACAAATGACTCTTTCAAAACCACACATGCATTGGCAGAACTCTATCATGCTGAATTATTAAAGGGGAGAGTTAATTCATAGTTTATCCATTAAAGTTAGATTTCCGTTTATTATTCTGCCTTCTCCCTTTTTAAAGATCTACTTTGGGTGCTTGAAGTGTTGGATAAGAAATAATATATAATAAACCTCACATACATGGGAAATATAAAAATTTTCCTAGCCAGCTGAAATTTCTTTGTTATCTGGGTAGTGATTTACAGATGTTAACTGCTATCCTTGTAATTAGTTTCATATTGGCCTTCTCTTGTACATTTTTTTCTTCCTTCCTTTTGTTGTACTATTATAAATTGAATGACTAAGGAGACACTGAGTTCTACATGCTTACAGCAAGGTAATTCAGCTGTTCAACCCTACACTGTTGATTTAGCCTGGGATCGCATCTGTTTAAAACAAGATTTTTTTTTTATGTTCTTGCTAACATGCCTAATATCATGTGCTTAAAGAACTATAACAAATTTCTGGAAGAATGTCTAAGAAGTAAATGACAGTGTTTTTTTGTGGGGAGGAAAACTAGGTGGCTGGGGGCCAGGGGTCAGCAAGAGTCACTCTGCTGTATGTACTTTTATGCTTGCTGATATTTATATATATACACACACATATATATTTATATATGTATATATTTATTTATTTCAATAGCTTTTGGGATACAAGTGGGTTTGGTTACATGGATGAATTGTATAGTGGCAAAGCCTGAGACTTTAGTGCACTGTCACCCAAGTAGTGTACACTGTACCCAATATGGAATTTTTCATCCCTCACCCCCCTCCCACCTTCCCCCCTTCTGGGTCTCCAATGTCGATTGTGTATCCATAGCTTAGCTCCCACCTATAAGTGAGAACACTTACTAGTTGCTCCGAAAGACATTATTTTCTTTTTTATGGCTGAGTAGTATTCCATGGGGTGTGTGTGTGTGTGTGTGTGTATACACACCGCATTTTCTTTATCCACTCATCAATTGATGGGCTCTTAGGTTGGTTCCATATCTTTGCAATTGTGAGTTGTACTACAGTAAACATACATGTGCAGGTGTCTTTTTGCTATAATAAATTTTCTTCCTTTGAGAAAATACCCAGAAGTGGGATGGCTGGACCAAAGGGTAGACCTACTTTTAGTTCTTTGAGAAATCGCCATACTATTTTCCACTGAGGTTGTACCAATTTACAGTCCCACCAGCAGTTACACTCACTGATTTTTGACCATGAACTTGATTTACCTATTCCAAAAAAATGAAATTTAAAAGTATTTTTAAACAAAAATAAATAAGTAAATGCTGCCCTTGCTAATTAAATAGTTATTTTCGAAAACAATCAAATCATGAGATGAGAAAGTATGGGTAGGAATGTGTCATTTATTTGACTTTGTGGACATTGCCAATTTTTTTTTTTTTTTTTTTTTTTTGAGAAAGATTCTTCCTCTGTCACCCAGACTGGAGTGCAGGGACACAACCAAGGCTCACTGCAACCTCTGTCTCCTGGGTTCAAGAGATTCTCATGCCTCAGTCTCCTGAGTAGCTGGGATTACAGG